ATAGAGGATGCGAATCATTATCGTGGTCATGCTACTGAAGATTGCTTCATGCCGTTGCGGGTATCCAGTTAGCTCCTAGTGTTGAAAATGTCGTTATTTCTGTAGGCCTCTAAATGTATCCTTATTGATTCCTTTAATTCTATTTAAACGAAAGATTACACGATAAATGGCTTAATCGTCCGCAAGGCGTTGTTTCCTCATATGTTAATTCATCACACTACCTGACGCCCCTGATGTAAACCTTTAAACTCAACGGGATCACGTTTTCATCAACCGCAAATACCGCAGCTCATTAGCCAAGATTCACGGCAGCGCAGTGGTTACATTGGATTGGAGCACCATATGGTCATAGCTAAACTTTGTATAACATTAGGAGTATCGCGCCGATACTTCTTTAATGCGCTGCGTTAGCTTCTCAGTCTGATGCGCTGAAATGTAGCTAAGTGTATTTAAAAGGAGAACGTATCTAGTACAATATAGCGCCTGGCGAGGAAGTGATGCATCCTACACAGTCTTCGTAGAGCTTGTTATTTCTACCGTAAGGAGTGCATCAAAGTTGGGAGGGTGAAAGCGATGTCAAATTGCGCTGTGTTCTAGATAGCACCAGCGACTTTACAGTGGCAAGTATCACGCTAGGAAGGAGTGCTTGAAATATCCTACGGCAGTCATTTTAGATTTATCCAAATGATAAATAATCCCAAACTTTTTGGTTTCTACCTCCACTTACTGACTAGTTTGTAGTTCTTTTGTCTGATAACAAACAATCACTAGCGAAAGCAGGTGCAAATTCTAAGTGAAAAAGATTCGTGAGATGCAAACAGACAAGTCCACGGCGGTTTATCATCTTTATACAGTACTACTACTATGTGAAAACATCTCCGGAACTTGTTTGTGCATTCTGCGTGCCTCAAAGATAAGCGTAAATTTTATTGAAAAAATAGCTTAAAACAAGGTTTAATTATACACCATCCAAAGGATACTGTGGTCAGTCCGGCGACTGATCAATACCGACATTTCAGCTTGTCTCGTGAGCCTTCTTCAAGGTAGATTGGTCCTAATGTTTCGTGAATGTGGCTGGTCGTCCCCAGTAGTCGATAGTTTCAGTCAGAAGACAGTCTGCCTTGAAGTTTCGTGAGAGGGGCCAAAACGTCAGTATTGGTCAATTTCCGCACTGACCCCAGTATCTTTCGCGTTGTCTATAAGTAAACCGTTTTAAGCTATTTTTAAGCATGGCCACCAACTCACGAACTAATTACTGCAAATTCTGAACTAATTCTAGGCTTAATGAATTTTAAGATTTTCAGCCATGACAGTGTTCAGGGAATATTAATCTGTACCATCGCAATGTTGCTGGTCTCAAGCCCGGAACAGAAAGGACGAGGGTTGGAGACCGCTGCAAGTCTCCGTAAAATTCAGCCACCTGCCACTCATGGTATTGACGCCATCGAAAATTATACCAGCTCGGTCGTCGCCCGGGTTACCAAGGGCCGCGCAGGCTGCCGGGGTACTGAGGCAGACTGCGAAAAATCGGCGATCAGAACCTGCTCATTGCCCTCTGCCAGAAGGGGGCGCACCAGCACAACGACGGCTGATGAAGACCGACGCAACGACGACGAAGATGCCAGTCAGCAACGGAGTCGCTACCAGTCCTGAACGGAGGAGGCAGACAGCGCAATGCCATTATAGCACGTCACACAAGGCTCCACGAGAACGATACCACCAGTGAGAGCTTAAAGTCGGAAATGTATCCTCACTCAGAGGAAAAGAACAAGAATTAGTTGATGAGGCCATGAAGTACCAGCTCCATATTGTTGGACTCTCGTCAACAAAACACTCAGGCTCTGGACTCCTGAACCTCAATGGATGGAAGCTGTTCTACTCAGGCGTCGATATCACGACTCGC